TTGGCGGAACTGAGAGTGTAATTCTTCCGTTCCAGTATCCGTATGATTGCACCCTTGATGATGTTCATTTGAACTACAGTCAGAGCTAATCGACTTGCAGACAAATGACTTTTGCAAACTGAAGCACAAGGAAGGACGGCTTATCCGATTTTACCGCTCCGGAACTGAAAATGTTCCAGCTGGTATGGTATCAGTGTTTGAAAAAACATGTCCGCGAGCAAACATTTTCATAAATGAAGTACTTGAACTCAACTCATCGAAAGAGACTGACTGATGAACATTTGAAAGAAATTCTCTTGATCAGTTGCAGCCCTTCCAAAGCAAAGGATGATTTCATGAAAGCCAAACTTCAACTTCACAGATCACACTAACTTTTTTCTCAGCCTTTTGCAAACTTCCGGATGCGTACACATAAGTGAGGAAACTAACTTTTAGTTAACTTTGCTTCTGTTAATATGATTTTCGCTTCAGAAATATGCTAGATTCCCTTTATTTTTATACTTTGCACGTCACTCCCCCATATTTACGACGGCTCGTGCAACACAGTTTGAAGTAATTTCTTAAGCATCTACCTTTTTGAGTGCTGTGCAAAATCCAATCCTACCCGCGGCCGTCGTTTTTTTCGTAATCCGTCTGGAAGAAATGTTGGTGACCTCTGCACTAGACGAATCGGAATTGATCGCTTTCGTAACACTGTAAAACCATAAATCGCTGCATGAATTTCTGCCTGGCTATCAGAAACCGTTGGCCTTATCTTGATTGAGCTATCGGCTAGCTACAGGATGAGGCCAGTAGCTCAGGCGTATCGCAATACAATCATGCCAGGTGGCGTGTTAACTCACCCCAGCCTGTGATGCTGATTACTAGTCAGGTAAAGTACTTTTAGTCTCAACGGCCAAGAGATTGGTCAAGAATGTGTCATCTTTCTTTAGTGACAGAGAGGTAGGAATCTGAGTATGCTTCCTTGCAAGCTCTTTGCAACTAATTAAGAGAAAGGACCAATTAGCTAATGATAAAAGCCTCGCAATTCGACATTAATTAAACAATCGCATTGATAGTCAAGTACCCTGAGGGATATTAATCCATCGGGTATCATACCAAGAACTCCAGAAGGCATCCGATTGTTTGGAGTAATGGAGTATGCTGGATAAACACCAGAGTTATAATACTACAGACTTAGGACTCCGATGGATCAGTAACTTTCTCCTTGAATCGTGCCTGGATCTGGGCGTCAGTCCTCTGTCTGTCTCAAACTAATTTAGTTTATGGATATTACAACGTTGGATACTAGGGCTGCACCAATATCACTTTTCATAACACAGTAAGTCCCATCACCTTAGCTTATCTACTCTTAACTGATGATAATGAAATATGGTGGGAAGTGGAGAGATCGGACGACCACAAAGCACTCCAACGAAGACAAGGATGAGGTCTCAGATTGGTCCTCTAAAACAAATCAGTAGTGGGCTCGGGAACGTTCAAAGCTCACCAGATACCCTTGACTGCGTACCTGGGCTCGGCGAGAAATTCTGCGGAACATTGCCATAGATAGCTATCGCGCGGAAATTCAGATTTACATAAAGCTGCAGACCAACCAGTGAAGCTGCGACGACAGCAGCAGCAGCAGCAGCAGCAGCAGCAGCAGCAGCAGCAGCAGCAGCAGCAGCAGCAGCAGCAGCAGCAGCAGCAGCAGCAGCAGCAGCAGCAGCAGCAGCAGCAGCAGCAGCAGCAGCAGCAGCAGCAACAACAACAACAACAACAACAACAACAACAGCAAAAACCACAACAACAACGACAACGACAACAACAACCACTGCAATTATAATTGCAGCAACGACAACAACACAACAATAGCCAAGCAACTACATCTATGGGGGGATTCGTTGCAGCTACTTTCAGTCAGAAAAGCGCCAGGCGGTCGTTTCGTCCCTTCGGGAGTCATCAATAGCACGCAGGTATCGGATCCGAACCCATGACCTTACTCTTATGAGTCAGCAACTGAGGCCACTGAACCATAGGCAACGGTAACGGACAGCTATGATTGATTTCGAGCTAGGATATAACGCGGACCTTGCTCCACTGTCATGCATGCTATAAATGTGAAGAGGATAGCGCTGGTCCACAGAGCTACGGGAACTCTTGCAACCAGCGGTGTTGGCATGTACGCTGTTATGGTGATTACTGACTATTGACTAGGAGCAGGATGGATGACGCTTCTGACGAACTCAATACGAAGAAAAAGGCCGACAGGCAATATCGAGGCTGCGCTGCCGTGCAGCCATCACCATATTGATGCGGGTTTAGGACATTGCGAGGGTCGCCCGGTCCCTACCTAGTCCCGAACCAGCGCCTTTGGATTTCAAGGAAGGCTTGTGATCCTTAGCTTTACGCGCCCACCCCACGGTGTTTTGTTTGATATGTGGTTGCTTTCTGGCTGCGTCAGACATCGACGAATACTCCCACACCCAGCCTCTGAGGACGAGTTCGAAGTCATATACTCATTAGCTGAACGCCTCACGCATAGCTTCTGCAATCAGTTTCTATCCATTGCAGAGGTTATATGCATCCGCCGTTTGAAGCCTAAATTATGTGTGCAAAAGCGGTACACTCTTCCGTAATACTGCCGTGGCCAGCGGACAATCTTACCATACCGGTTGGCTATTACCTGAGGTAATTAAATGGTAGCTTTGAGTTTTATTGATTATTGCACTCTTTCCTACTTTGCATATCATCTACTGCCTAGCCCTAAGCTGTCTATTTCTGTACAAACAACTCACTGATTAAGTTCCCAGCTCAATTTGACGAGAACACCACGGAGTCTCAGCCATTTGAACCTTAAAGTCCGATTAGAGTTTACTCGAAAAGAATTCTTAACCTATCACTAATTTGGTCTCGATCTGCTCACTGAAACGGGAATTTTACTTTTCTGATAATCAGCATTGTCCGTGATTCGTTGAAAAAATGAACGCTTCACTACACATTATTCACTACCATACTGCAACTACTACTAATGCTACTAGTACAGCTTGAAGTTTCACTTCAATTGTTGACGAAGCTGATGTAATCGAATTATCTAGCTCGGTTACTAATTGCATGATTCAACACTGTACCAGAGCCAGCAATAAACAGACGTGCAAACTCCCATAATACAGCGTATTAGGTGTACAAGACCATACCCTGCCCCCAGTCCAGTCACAAGGGAATACAGTTTATTAGCGACAGCAGCGTAAGACAGCTTCATACCTTCTGAGTCTTTTAAAAGCTGAGAAAGCTTGAGCTCATTAGTGATGGAGCTGACCATCCAACTACTGCTTTACTTGGTATGAGGCACATGTACTACCTAGCTACGAGGGTGGTTTTGAGGAGTGACTACTTTAGGTGCTTGGTGAAATCAGGTCTCCGCACAGGCATCCTGTCGCGGGTTAAACTCCAAAGCAGCATCTGTTTCAAAGTGACCTAGATACTGTATATCAATGGTCAACTCAACATTTGCTGCATTTCGACGGGAGTAAATGCAAGGTAATTTCCATCCGACATCAGAGAAACTACGCATACCGGTTCGGAACGAATATACTACAATAATCAACTCTCCAACGTGAATTGGTTGTCCTGCTTCAAGATTACTTGGCTTACTCCAGGTTATCCGAAAAGGCCTGGAAGACTGGGAACCAACACGTCAGGCTGTTGCGACAGGCGTTTGAACAAATAAACAGCTACATATTTCGACAAATGCTCAGTGCGCATGTTCGCCCCCATGTGGAGTACGTAATTCAAACCTGGCATCCATGGCTGAAACACGACCTTAATGCACTGGAGCAGCCACAACGTCCGGCATTTAAGAACGTAATTGGAGTGCGCAATCTTTCATACCAGGAGTGGCTGCAATGATTGAGGGTATTCAGTGGAAGCTATCGCAGACTACCAAGCTACCTGATTATGGCGTACTTGATTCTGCAAGACCCACATCATGTGTGCCACCATTTACTGTGACACAGCAGCAATACAACCCTGAGGGGCCACTCACAGAAACACGCTGTGCAGTAGCGCCGCCTGATGTGCCGCAGAAATTTCTTTTACATTCATGTCCGTCACCAGTGGAATGCTCACCCAGTATCGGTGGTCTCTGTACCGACACTAACAGTATTTAAAAGACGGTTGGATGATGCACTCATCCATCTACACTTTGTCTCTTAGCACTACGTCTCCATCCCACAAGTGGAGTTTACCATGCACTTGTTTGATATTAACTGTGGGTGCTATGAATCTAAGCGGATTGCAGAACTACTGCGGAGCAAACGATAAGTCCTTATTTTCCTATTCAAAGTAATAACTGTTTTACTATGATTATTATCATTATTGTTATTTCGGTATCCCTGTCAACTATCCGACGGGACTGGTAAAGCAACGCTTCTTAACCCGCATAAATGCGTTGTTCAAATATCGACTATGAGTAACTTTTAATCATTTCTATCTGAAGCAGCTGACTTTCCAAACTATTATCATGTGCTGAGAAGCGATGTTGTAGTGATAAGGGTTGAAGGAGTTGTTTCGTAAGTCTTGCAGCTTACGATTCAATAGATTAAACCATTTGGAATGCCTGAACCTTGTTTACGTTGCAGGCGATATTTGCGCTTAAGTTGAAGGACATCATCATGCAAGAAGTTACGAATGAGGCCGCTTATTATAGAAAATATCGTCAACCATATACACCAGCTCTGACCGTCCCATTCATCTTCGAACTCCTTTCTGGATGTTGAATGGTTCACATTGCTTCTCTATTTATGCCCAGTGTACATACGTCTGCGGACCCCAAGCGTCCTTCTTCTGTTACGGTTTTGGGGTGGTCTGTTGTTGACCCTTTAGCTTCTGATTTTCTTGGTAATTCTATACTACTGACTTTCAGCTTTGTGCCCTACCACTGCCTAATGGCTCCTTATAGCTGAATTGATTACCAGATCTCAGAGGAAGTACTACTACGTCTTGGATCCGTTGTGACTTACTTTTCTCGCACCGGTCCCCCATATATCCTGGCTTGCAGTGGCATGTCCCGGTGAAAGGGTCACATTCCGTCGGCTGTGCGTTGTAACACTCGCACACTTGCATACATCCTGCCCCGTAGTGACCAGGTGGGCAGGTGAATTGGCACAGAGGACCGTAATATCCCGGACGGCATTGACACGCACCGTTGACGGGTGAGCACTCTGCGCCATTTAGGCAATTGCAAATCTGGAGCAGAACAATGACGATGTTAGGTGTGATTTAACGAGGTGCGCGGCATCAGGCTGCGATATAGAAACACAATATTGGTAGTTAAGGTTGTTCAGTTGCCGGTCTGAATGTTGAGCTCTGTAGTTTCGCTACAAACGTTTCTTTACCACTCGAAGTGACCTCGTCAATGCGCTTGTACGTAGCGGAGCGGAACGGTACGGTACCAAGCGTCAGTGTGAGTGATCAATCATCTAGGCGGACGAGCCATCCGCCTGTGTTTAGATCCTTAGAATGGTATATGACTAAGGAAAAGGATTCTTTTCATTTGTGTCTGGTAGCGCAGGAATTCGTACCTCTGCGATTGACATCGTCGCTTGACGTATTTGTCGGGCGTTGATTTCCGGCGATCTTTCATCCATACTACTGCATATATAGCATCTAATTCAACTCGTCGGTTGATTGAAATGCCTGTAGAACACCACGCTTCGAAGAATCTTAGCTTGCCTCGAATTTTCCCGGCCTAGCATCTTTACATTCTTTAGGTCTAGGTGGTGGCCTTCCTGATCTTCATGCATGGAAACCAGTGAATGTGGGAAGTGTCTTCGCATGACCCTTTTGTGCTGATTGACATGTATTGCAAATTTGGTTCCAATTTGTCCGACGTAGTGTTGCTCACATTCTTTGCAGTTTATTTTGTAGATGACATCATCCTTTCAACGCGGTTCAACGAACACAAGTTTGCCAGACGAAAAAAACCCACATTCACTGGTTTTCGTGCATGAGTACCAGGAAGACAACCACTTCGCCCTAGAGAACGTAAAGATCCTAGCCCATAGAAACTCGTGACCAGCTAACGAAATCTTGGAAACATGATATTCCACAGGCAATTCCATCAACTCGTGTGTTGAAATAGATGTTATATATGTCGTACTACGAATGATAGATCAGCGACTTAGTCCACTAAATCCAACGAAACAGAACGCTGGGCAAATACGTCAAACGACGACGTCGACCGCAGAGGCAAGCCTGCTTACGCTACTAGGCATAGACCAAAGAGATCAATTTTAATGGTCATGTGCCTGTCGAAAGATCCAAACTCAGACGGATGGCCCGTGCACCTGAGAGGTTGATCACTCACGCTCACACTTTATACCGCATCGCTCCGCTACATACACATGCACTGACAATACCATTTCGAGTGGTGACGAAACGTTTACAATGAACAATGTTTTATCACGGGTAAAAGGGCATGTGCTTGACAAGTCCCGTAGGATGGTTGGAGTAAAAATTAACATTTGAAAGATCATCGAATAAGTAAATCGTTATTTCAAGCGTCCATCTGGTTAAATACACTACTGCAGTGGGAACGGGACGTGCACACGCAAAATAGTGTGGAGAGCTGTTATAGTTCAGTAAGTGCGTGAGAAATAAAAAAGGAAACGACAACGCTCAGTCGTTTGTTTCTTCATTTGACAGATATGATGGGCTAATCCAGTTTAGCTACATCCAGGCTAATCACATGGACACTTCTGCATGTATCCTCACAGCCACATTGCGGAGAGGGCCGTTAAGCACATGGTTAGTTTTGCGTTATTTCGTCCTCCAAGTGGAACGGACTAAATCAAATAATGCAAGTTTGAAAGCGTTGCATCAAGGCGCTTTTTAAATAGCGTTAATGTAGGGGCAAGGATAACGTGAGTCGGAATTTAACCCCTCCCCCCTTCCCACATTTCATTATATATATAACACTAAACTACTCCAAACAATATTTTAATTTACTTCCATAATTTTACTATCATTCAACCTAATTACAAATTCACTCATTACATCAATTCTCACATTTATATAACTTAACTCATACAAACATAAAATCCCTAAAATTACTCCACTCATTTCCTTCTAACAACACCCCATAAACAACTTTTCCACCTGAATCTAAATACTTCTCTCATCACCCCCACCACCCCCTTCGAATTTACTAACTTAATTATTCTCAACCAGTTTCAACTCCTAACCCTCTTTTACCTTTCATCCCTGCTATTAATTCACTTCCACGTGTGATTCCACCTAAAGCCTAACCTCCAAAGCGTCAACCAATCATTCACACTCCCATCCGTACACACCCTCCTTACAAGTAGTTCCCCCACCGCATGCTATGACTGGCTCTTTTTGACGCCTTTTCAGCCTGTCTCGAGCAACCAAGTTCGTCCTGCACGATCACCCCGAGGTCGTTTTCTCGGGAAGCACGTTGTAACTGCTGGTCCCCAAGTCGATAGATAAGCTGTTGGCGTATGCTTACGACTTTACACTTGATCACGTTGAACTGGAGCCGGTTATCGGATGACCACGTATAAGCCCCGTCGAGATCGCTCTACAATGCCATGTGATCATCCGATGATTGATATCCTACCAAATTTTGGTATCATCTGCAAATAGTAGGAAATTCGACTGTAGTACACTGGCAAGATCGTTAATGAATGTGAGGAATAAACTTAGCCCCAGTACCGATCCTTGAGGCACGCCACACTGGACGTCAATTGGGTCGGACATGGAGCTGCGGTCTCTCACGTTCAGCTGAAGTTGAGTGAGGGTATAGGGTCACCGATTCCATAGCCTCGAAGCTTGTGAAGGAGAATGCGGTGGTCCAAACGATCGAACGCTTTGGAGAAGTCCAGGTAGACAACGTCGACTCCCACTCTGGTATCGGCTGACTCTGTCCAGCTTGCTCGGGCTAGCAGCAAATTTGTAGTGCAGGATCGATTTCGCTGGAATCCGTGTTGCTGTGACACTAGGATATTGTACCTCTCAAGACATCCCATGAGCGCATCTGCAAATATACGTTACGTTACTTTGGATAAAACTGGGAGGAGAGTGATTAGATGGTAGTTCGAGGGTTCCAAACGATTGCCACTTTTATAAATAAGAGTGACTACTCCATGTTTCCACATTGGGGGAACCCGCCTTTCGTCGGGACACCGTTGAAAGAACCGAGTTAATGGTTCGGCAAGGTTCATGGCCGTTGTCTTCAAGGTCTTCGGTTTGACCTCGTCCACCCTAGGTGAGTTGTGCACGCGCAATGACATTAGCGTTTTCATCACATTGGCTGCCGTGAACGATACTTGGTTTAACCCTGGTGGCGATGGAAGCTGTGTAAAAAGCGGATGAAATGATGATTCACTCCGGAAAGTATGGATGAAGTGTTGGCGAAGCACGTTGGCCGCATCTTGTGCGGTTTGTGCCAGACCATCTGTTGCACGTAAAACCGGGATCCCGTGCTGTACTCTGCGGAGCTTGTTGACGTGTCTATACAGCAACGGGATTTGTACTGAATTTCGCCGCTACGTTCTGTTGATGCCGGAGTTTGTCTTCGCGGATCAACTTGGCGCAGTGGTTTCGTTGAATTGTTTAAACATCTCAAGACAGGTTACTTGGACAGATTTTGTAAGCGCGCCACGCTGGATCCCTTAAGGCCATGCAGTTTCTAGTACGGTTCCTCAGGAATGAATTCACTTGCTTCGGGTGAAAGACCTTGCGGTCTGACACATTTGCCACTAGCTCAGTGAATGGGGTGAAGAACAACATCCAGGCGACATCGGGCGGCTTCTCGGCCAGGAAGGACCGGTCGGTTTCTTGAACGAAGTTGGACAGTATATCGTAATGTGTAACGATATTAGCTTCCATGTTGTTCTCACTGATGTACTCCGAGTAACAGATGTAACGAAAGAGCAACATCGCGCAATCGCTACGGCTAAGTGGTGCAGCTATGGTCACGGTGTCGACCATTAGTTCCTCGTTGGAGAGTACAAGGTCAAAAACGGAGGGTGTGCCAACCGTTCGGAATAGCGTGGGTGAGGTGAGCTAGTTGTACAGAGGTACAACGGCGGTCAGCTCTTGCCAATCCACCTTGAATTGTTCGCTGTGCGATGCTGAAACTTCGATTGCGTGCAGGTTGAAGTCCTCCACCAGAAGGACGTGACTGTATGGTCGTACTAAGACTCCTTTTATCGCAGAAGCTAGGCATTGATCCATTTCCAAGGTGGACATTGGAGGGCGGTAAACTATTGCTAGTAAACACATATCACCATGTCTTAGGTGCATACGACACCAAAGAGAATCGACGACTTTCGTTTCTGCATCCTCAATGACATCAACATGCAGGTCGGATCGATAATACAGAAGCACTCCCCCTCCTCTGTTAGGTCGATCGTTTCGGATGGAACTCTTGCCGGGTAGCGCAATCTCAGCTTCCGTGATCACCGTGTTCAGCCATATTTCGGTAACCATAACTAGGTCCCAAGGCATGGAGACGTGACGAATATGAAGTTCGGTTAGCTTGCTGAGAAGACCTTGTGCATTGGTATACAAGCAGGTGAGGGTATCGGTGGTCAGAACCGTATTTGTGAATGCTGGTTTCCGGTGAGGGTATATGCCGACCCTTGCTGGGTCGGCTGCCGGTCGCTTTTTGTAGGTCCGATGACGTAGGCCCTAGGGTTAGTTCAGATTTTTGTGTAGAGCTCTCAGCGCCAACAAGAGGGTGACCATCCTGTCCTCCTTCAGCTGCCAGTGTGTTTCGGCATTGTTTCCGTTCTGAGCTACGCAGTGAAAGAATTGTATTGATAAGTTGCTTGCTTAGTGTTACATTGTCTGTCTGTGGCCCCGGTGCCTACAGTCTTTATACGTATTTCGGATGGCAGCATTTCACGCTTATTGTGCCACATTTTGACCACATGTTCTGCCATCAGTTCGGAGTGCAATGATCCATTCATCACTCGGGGACCACACCCTTTGTAGTTAAGTGATAGCGGTAAGTTTGATGTCGAAGTATCCATAACATTTTCGAGTGTGAGTACTTCACGAATAAAACGCCATTCATCCCACTCATGCGCTTTGGCCTCTAGCTCGTTTAATGTCTGGACCTCGGGGACACCGTGAACAAGGATAGATTTCGCGTCTTGTTGTTTACGGAAGTCATCCGGATTTCGTTTGCGTTTCTGGCGTTCGCTCCAAGCCGAGCTCAGCGAACCCTCAGATCACTGAAAGCAAGAAGCAAGTGGGGGATTGGTTCCTACAATGACAGCGGGTATACACAGGCAGGAAATTCAGAAAGCCCCTACTTATCCCACAGACTGCCGGTTGCAATATCCGATCGATCTTCCTCGTAGTGTGTAGCACCAAACTTTTGAGTACATTTGTATGTCCATGTACAGTATGTGCATGTGGAAATCTGGCCACACTCCGGACAACCTTAGACATCTTTTCCACCATACCGAATGTGCTCCTAAAGACATATGGATCACAGGATCCTCCACAAACTTTGTGGGGACCCTGCCCAAGAGATAGAGCTGTTCTTCCCTTATCAGTATCCACACAATGAAACTTGTGACTGTGTCAACTATTCTTCCACTCCTATCATCAGTGACTCCAGTGGTGGAGCTGTACACTATCGGGCGCGTCCCCAGTTTGCGGATTGGGGAATGCCTTCCTTGCGGAGGTAACTGCGAATAAGTCTCGTTTGTCTTGCAGGGGATATGAATAAGCAGTTGCGGACAATCATCAGCAGCGTCTCAGAGCGTGAGGAGTGCTGGGCTTGTCACCTGGTTCTCCATTAAATAACACAGATGCTAGTACAGCGCTGTGTCAAAGCCAATGTGACCGGTTATAGGGTCACTGACCACTCACTCCTGTAACTGGGGGTGCGTATCGAACGGGGGGGGGGCGTATGAACAACCTCGCTGGCCACCGGCTTCTCTGTGGACCGCTTGCGAACAAAATGAACGTGAAAGAGCTATTTGGCTGTCAACAGCCTTCGGGAATCACCCTGATGCCTTGCGGGTCAGGTCTTTAAGACCAAAGGCTTGGGTGGGGTCCCTTAAGTCAACCCTCTTCCTCGGCCTGGGCCACCGGGAAGATCAATGCCTACACAGCACATGGAACTTTCCATCCATTCAGCTGACTCTCACTTCCTCCTTTTTGTTATTGTTACTCATGTGTGGCACTGCAACGGAAGCGGCAAGCAACGATGGGTTATACTCCATCGACATCAAGCGCATGGTGCCATAGCACATGCGGTCGAGAGAGCCTGAGTCAGGCAGGCCTAGTAATCGATGAGCGTGGCCACTGGGGACCACTACCGAAGCGACGACGGGTCCTCCAGAGAACGTAGACAGAACCAGCGCAACGTTTGTAAGTACGCTGCGTTCGATTTACTAACCGTGTGCTTGCATGCTAAGTCTGTTTATTTCAGTGGTCGACTTCCAATTTTATCCTAATGCTTTTCTTTCTCATATAAATGTCGACCTGTACTCTTTTCTATAAATTTGCACACGTCGCTTAAGCTAATTGTAGTTAATTTCGATAACATTTTCGTGTTTGTGTCATTTCCGTTAGATATACTTTCTGACCTCGGGAACTTATCTCGGATTCGCTTGTAAACGACTTTCATATGCACACTAATTTAAGATTTAGATCCCCTTTCTCTTATGCACTACTCGCTTTATTTTCTTTGTTATCTTTCTCTCAAGTGATTGGCTGTTGCTTGATACCCCGATGTGACTGCGCTTGATGTGCATTTTGACAAGTGCCTACCAGTCTATTACCCACTAGCTCGCTCATACTGGCTCCAGGAAACAGTTGGTCGTTGCTGGAGGGGACGGGGTGTACGGTTCTTGTGGTCGTGCTGGGCTCGAAAAGTGGTTCCATGCAGTCAGTGTGCAGCGGATTACGGTCCAATCACGGCCTTGTGTACGATTGATTCTTAACTACAGTGTGCTTGTGCTTGCCTGTAAAGGAGTGTGGGCCGGCTCCGTTGATGAAACGTGTCTCCCATCCACATGCCTCCCGGGCTTATTCCTTCGGGTTTACACTGGATATGGGATGGGTGGTTGGAGCTGTGGGTGGTGCAGCGCAAGCCACTCATGGTCCCTCTGTAGGCGCAGGCGTCCTGTGGCTTGCCACAGTGACAAGCAAATCCGAAACCGGATACCGCCAACCATATATATACATATATATATATATATATATATATATATATATATATATATAAAATCTGTGACTAGCACTAACTTTCTTTGCGCAAGAACTTGGAAAGCAGTAGCCCAAACGTTCGTGCTAATTAGATAAGTTGCAAGCGATTGGGACACTGAGCTGTGAGACCAGGAATACGTTAAATTCGTTTACCCTAGGGAGGGTTGGGAAAATTCATTCAGTCTTGAAGTGGAAGCTACTTTACTACGTCGTGTTAAAATGATTTCTCCAACACAGTGCTCGCATACAGCTTATCGGGGAATGTATAAACGTATTTTAAGACCAGCAACACAAAATATCCACCTAATTCATTAGTTACAGTCTCAACGACCGAAATGACAAAGGTCCACTACAGTGTGCATCGTGTTCTACAGAGATTGCAAGTCACAATCCAAACACAAAAAGATGTGTTTCAGAGCGACCATACCAGTCAAGTTATTTATTATCGATAATCCACTTATGGTCGTTGTTTAGTGCACTCTGTATGGAATCAGTTGATAACAGTCACAGACAATTAATTTCAAATCAGCAGGAATAGATTTGTAAGTTGAGTGTCGCAAATGGCGTTAAGGTGGACTGACTGCGGCAACCTAATGTGCCAGCGACATATCCGTCAGTGGAAGGTGCTTAACATTGAATAATATCATCAAGGTATATACTAATTTCGCGCTTTAAACTGGAGAACCATCAATGATAAAAATATGATTCCCATTTATGTGTACAATACGGACTCCCCTGTGGACATCATGCGAAACAATTACAACTAGTTGATCACGACGAAAACAGTACGTCTCGGGAATCCGAGACGATGCTATTACTCTTAGTCAAGCTTTACGGTGGTAATCATGATGTGGATCGTCGAGAGCCACATTGCTAAACCAAATAATGGGGCTAGATAGGTCATGTAATGCCAATTCTACAACTAGTAAACGTGAGGTTGTGTAATCCAAGCTGACGATCAAACATAAGGAAAATGGAGCTTAGTACTTTATGCAGCTTACCTCATTGCTACAATTTAATCAAAATTAGTAGATGAAACCCAGTACAATCGGAGGGAAACTAGTTGTCTGACTTGGAGTAGGATTTCTCCGCATCCTCATACAAAAGGTGTAATAGTTGATGAATGCTTACTGGGACATTATTTCGACTATTCCCAGCTCGGTTTTGGATCGATTAGTACAGAAAACCTGAGCATGTGCCGTTGATGGTCCAATGAAGTAAATCCTAGTTAGCGTAGAGAAATGCCCATGTCCCATCATGATCCAAACCTATGAAACGACTTTGTCAATTACAGCGAGACTGCAGAAGGGTTAGGTGGAGGAGTCCTGGACGGCCGTTCCCCTCCCTTGGAATGAACGGTGATACGTACCGACAAATGGTGTGTCTGGGGGCCGACACAATCGACAGCAATTTAATTTAAGGATGGAGGGTGAGCCACACCAATTCGTGGTATGTTACGCAGCCATCCTAGCCGCCCTTATCAAGCTATGCAAGCCACTAGCTTGTTGGCGAAATGTTGCTTTGTATCTACGGGAAGTTCACTGTTTTTGGTTTCCGGAAACATGTTACACCCGTACCGTATCTCCATGGAGATGGTTTGATTGCCCAGCTTAGAAATTCTCCCCAGAAAATGGTATGTTATTCAGGACATAATCGAAAGAAGTATGTTACTGACATTGGTAACATAGATGGCGTTGTACACGAACCTGCGAACATTTTGGCCCGAAACGACCTGTTGGACATTTCTGTCCGCAATCTTTGCCATGGGTCCCCGGTGCACATGGACACTGACCCGTTTGAGGATGGCAAGTTCGGTCGGGGGCTGCAATAGTTCGACGCCACATCTTGGCAACCATTGAGTTTGTGTTCGGGTTGAACTGAAATGGTTCAGGATCGGATGTATGAGATGAACCAGGGAATGGCAACCGTAAAGCTTCGTTGGTGCTTTCTGTTCCTGAAGTTCTGCCGACACAAACGGGACACTCCAGACTGCACTGAGGTCCGAATGTGCCGCGCGGGCAGGCTGAGAAAGAAATGTGAGAGTGAGTATTTCTTGGCTATAACCGATGGTTTACACTACAAACTGCGTTTACACGAAGTGTTGAACATGATTTGACAAGCAGTGTTATTAAAATACTCGACTAAAAATTAGGATACATCAGGCCGCCGTAGGCAACGTAATGTTACAAAACAACCCTTTCACCTTGTGTGCTTTTTCGTTCACATTTAAATAGTTCAGCAGTAATACGTTATTAGTTTCGCGCGAAGAGTTCCAGGGGAAATTAGGGTGAGAAATGAATGTTCCTTCAATTAGAGCAGGATCAGAAAACATACTGCACAGCAGCTGTTTCCGCGGAGATTTTGAAGAAGGGGAGGGCGAATGTTTGCCTACTTATGAGAAGGAGAATTAGGCCGTTAAGCATTCAGGTCAAAGCAGTGGGTTAGGCTGCATGCATTTTCCAGTTAATAAAATTCGGAATGATGCGATGTTTTTGGATGCGGCAAGAATGTAGTCTATACCAGAATTGATGGAGTCACTCGGTACCTTGTGGAATATATCGGTCATCAGGACGTAATTAAAGGGACTGGGATCAAGTTCAAAGAAGATACAGCACTCTTACACTCAGTCACACTTTGTTCAAGTTAGCTACTTTGTCACAAGGACGGTAGCCGTCAATCGTAGACCAGTAATCCTCGAAAATGAGCCGTAATGGCGCAGGATCGCAGATTCCAAGCCCTCATCGGGCAGGTGTGGTATGCAATGCATCCGCATCACTAACAGTATCATACACGTTAGCTAGAGGTGGGAAACACCTCAGCTACTGTGCCGCAATACACAAAAGAAAAAAATATGAAAATAAATTCAACAGTTGCATGCCAGCTGAACTACCAGCAAGGGACGGGCATCGATCCGGTAAGACACCAGCCGGCCACTATGCAGCAAAATATTTCATATGCAAAAGTATATTACGATAAGAAGTCAGATCGTATTTGGAGGGAGAGGCTAAGTGGGGGGGAGTAGGATGAAGCAACTCACAGTACGAACTCCACTGAGGTCGGCTCCAAGCCATGTCAGCAAGTGTATCTAGCCAAACGTGTTCATTGTCTTTCGGACCCCAACCAGGGAGCCGGGAAGCTCCAACCGAGGCCAGCTTCGAAGTGAGGGCCTTCACTCCTCTCGACCAAGTCCTCGCTTGGCCACATCTCCTCTTCTTCAAAGCACGTCGCGGGAGTTGATGGGCTGGCATGCGTAACACGTGGCCCAGCCATCGGAGCCTGGTGCGTGAACTGGCGGTGCTGAGCGGTTCATTTCCTTTACTTGTGCAGTAAACAAGGCGTCGGACACCCTCGTTGCTCACCCGGTGTTCCCACCAGATGTGAGCCAAACTGCGAAGGCACCGGTGATCGAACGTAACTAGCCTCTTTATGTCCGCTGACCTAAGGGGCCAGATTTCTCAACCGTACAGTAGGGTCGAACGTACGGCTGCATTGTACACACTACCGTTCAGGGAGAGAGTGATGTCGCACCGGCGTCATAAGTGCCGGTTAGAAAAAGCGCCTCGAGATTTTGATACACGGTTCGTGATCTCATCTTCAATCCCACGGGCGCTGATATAACCTCCCAGTTAGTTGAATTGTTGAACGGCTTCTAGTTGGTCTCCACCAAGAGTCAGCGCAGGAGGCAGTCCAGGCCAACCTTGGAGAAACGCTTTGCAGTTCGAGGGTGCGAAGCAAAGCCTGAAACCGTTGCCAACCAATGCTAATCTGTCCAGAGCGGCTTGGCATGTTTGTGGGCTGTCACAGATTAGGGTACTATCGTCAGCATAATCCAAGTCAAGAAGTCGTTCTCCTGGGAGCAGATCCACACCTTCTAACTCATGTCCTGTGAATGCGATTTGCATGTCCGTCAATAACGAATTTGAAGAGGAAAGGTGACAGCGGGCATTCTTGTCTTACCAAGTTGGAGATATTGTTGGGCTGCGACAGGTGACCGTAAGCTACGCACGTATAATGCTCGGATAATATTTACCTATTTCTCGGGCGCACATTTCTTGTGTAGACAATGCCAAAGTGCACATCTATCCACCGAATCGAATGCACCTTTGATATCGAGGAACATGACAACAGTGGGCCGCCAATATATGTGTCGTTGCTCCAACAATTGACTCAAAGTGAAGATGTGGTCGATGCAGCCCCGACCCCGACGAAACCTGGCTTGCTCTTCACGAACCTGGCTTTCAGGAGTGCCATTCAGCCTGTGAAGGATGACAGAGGCAAGCAATTTGGAGGCGATGGAGATCAGATTAGTTCCTATATGGTTACCGCCTTCCGATCGTGAGCATCCCTTGAAAATTGGAACTATGACGGAACGGCTCCAATCAGTTGGGACACTTTCCTGCTCCCACAGTTTCACTGGTAACTCGTGTAAATCATCCACAAGTGTAGGTCCCCCGAAGTTGAAGCGGGCTGGTTGAAGAGCATCTGGTCCCGCGGCTTTATTCAACTTCATCAGTCCGACCTCTAGTTGGACTTCTGAGCGAGAGAGCGGATCCAAAGGAGCGGCCCAAAGGGTAGGGCTATCAGCGGCCGGCGAGAAATCTGACAAGTTCGACTAATAAAATTGCTTTGCAAAATACTTAGCACAACGCTCCAAACGTTTTGACAACCTGCGCATAGGTTGTCCACTCTCTTCACAAAGAGTTTCACTAGCACCAGGTCTCTTTCTGCCTGTTTCCCGTATCAAAAGGAAAAACTTTCGATGGTTACCAAGGGTAGCGGCCATTTCCATCCCTGATGCACCATGAGACCACCCGGATACGCGGTCTCTCCTCAGGCTAGCACGGAGATTTGCCCGGTGGTTTCTGCGAGTCTCATTGTGTTCGCTTCCAGCCGGAATATGCCGGCGAGCATCGATAAGCTCCAGAGAGTGCGAAGAGACCCAATGTCCATGTTGGCAATTAGACTTACCACATGAGGATTTTCCTGCTGCTAGTAAGCTTTGGTGAACCTGAGACCAATGAGCTTCAATTGTGTCCAGCGAGAGCTTACTCAACTCGCATGTCAGTGTACTTTGATATGCATTCAGAACAGCTGGCTTCGCCATTTCGCTAGTGTCAATGCGCTCACAGCATCATCGTGGACGTCTGCCAAAACGCATCCGCAGTTCAGCACATGCGAGTGCATGGTCGGTGTCTACACATGTGCTCCAAATCGAGCGACAGTTCTGGACGCAGCCTCTCCAGAGGTAACTTATTGCGATGTGATCGATTTGCCTCCAAGGGTGCTTCGAGGCTGGTGGGCGCCAAGACACACTGGCCGGTACTGTGTCGGAAATTAGTTTTTGCAAGAAATAAGCGCATCGTCACACAAATGAAGTAAACGCTCACCGTTATCATTGCGAGAGCCTATATCGTGTTGGCAGCCCCGATACAGTTCATCTGTGGACAATTTTCCAACTTCAATGTTTAAATCCCTAGCCAGCACTACAGTCTCCGTGCTTCTTCTGTGGCGCAGTAGGACGTTCAGTTGGCAATAGAAGTCGTTTTTTTACCTAACCATCGATAGAGTTTGGGAACGCATATGCAGCGATGATGAATAGACACCTGTTAGTGCCGCGTGACTTCGAAGCTTTGGACGAACCAGCCAATCGGGCCGCACACATCCGGCTACTGACTGGGATCCAATTAACCAGAGCAACTTCAGCCCAGGGACTCGGGGCAGTGCCAACACCGGCTTGGCCGGTGCTCGAACCTGCATCGCAGCCAGATGGGCGCAATGAGAAAGTGCTGCTGGTGTCACCTGAACGGGATCGCAAAATGAACACAGAGCTCGAGTCTTGCAGCCGGGTCTCTGATAAGCAGCAGATGTGGATCGAGAAGGTCTCTAATGTTCGGGCAAGTACTGATTGTTGCCCGATCGGTAGCAATGCTTGCACATTGAGGCATGTCAATCTGAAGGAGGATCGAGAGTTCCAAATGTAAGACTATGAACTGGGCTTGACCACTTACTTAGACATGGGCTTGTCGACAGGACAGGAGTGACGCTGGCGTTTGCATGTGAGTTGAAACTAAGAGGTAAAAGCCTATCGAAGCAAGGTGGGGGAGGGCCAAGAATTGGGGGTATGCAAACAGGGGGATAAAGGTGAATCTGGAGCGGGCCAGTAAGAGTGAAAAAGCCTAAGATGGGGAATAAGAAGAAGGGTAGGCTTGAGCAGTAGCCACCAAACCCCTATCCACCATGCTCGATGCAGCAAATAGGGCAGCATTGATTATCCTCTGCGGTGGCGAGCGCGTCAGGAAATTGTTACAGAAAACACTATAGAAAGTGATACTTCGTTGTTACGAACATAGCAACAGAAAATTCACCCAAGACATGTTATAATGGACTTTTCTGATAGTCCAATTATGTGAATCGCTTTAGGTTTTCCAAAAGCAGCCTGTCCAAAGGGGATCTGTTGCATCTCACAACCAGGTAACTATCACTCGATCAGAAACTACTGCGGAGAGTTGCGCACGTTAGAAACTCTGTTTAATTCAGCTGAATTAGAGTACGAGCCAGCTAGCTCAACTACCAATCCAGAAAAGCATCTGACATCGGTCTAGTCGTAAGTGGTGCGCCAACCCTCAGTCCACTTCAGAGAACTGAGTCCAAGACCGCTGGTGGCTTGCACCACAAACCATCAGCTTATGCCGCTAGCTTGTAGGGAGATAGCTGAAGTTCATTGATTAAAATCTAACAAAGACATAGGCCGACTGATCTATCACGACCATACAGGCGCCTGATCACGCAGAAAACAACGTTTGGACCCCAGGTGAGTAGTCAAAATGGGCCTCAGCAATCTTCAAAATGCTGTGTGGCTCCACAGCTACTTCTAGGGAAGTTATGACACATGTGGGCCAACCACTATCTTCTGTATTGCAGTAGAGGATGGGTCGCAGTTAGCTTTTAATCCATGAGGTTCGGCTATCTCCCACAGGAATCAGTAACCAAACTGGGTAACCGTAACACGAAATAGACGGCTTAATCAGCTATATGGTCAGGAATTCTGTGGTTAACATGCGCTTCCAATAAGTGTCGTTTTACTTGCCCAAAGCGAAGATGCATAGTACTGTACACCCGCGAATTTACACCACCAATGGTGCAATCCCGTAAAGTAAGAGTTTAACTGCAAAAAGATTTACACACAAACTTGAGTGGGTGAAATATAGGCGTCGCTTGAGGTGGTTTTGGAAAACCAAGTAACCCTCAGTAACAGCTAGAGGCACTGATTTCCGGGATGTCAGGTCAGTTAACTCAGTGCATTAGACTCTTCTGGTGTTACAAATGGCTTATATGACCCAGTCAAGGAGGGAAGCACGTGGGAAATGTGGGATGAGTGAATAACTTTCAGTGCTGCTACAGGAGCTTTGCTGTAGACAAGCGGATATAAAAATGGAATTCAGGAAAGTGGCGTAGAACGACATGCGCTTCGAGGAAGTGCACAACAGAAGCGCTGACCTGGAGTACTACATCACTTCATAGAAGTGTCCCTCTGGTCACAGATTTGCCCTACGTAGCCCATATGTGCTAGTGTAGGTGAGAATAACTTGTAGCGAGGCTTTATACTTCAAGAGGCCTTTCACGTAAGCACCCTATAATTTGTTGGACGGATTTCAAAGCAGTGTGACCCACACAAAGCAAACTTTACAATTAGACAAGAAATATTTGCCGTGACAAATAGATGATCACGAAATCGCTGTTCCACCATAGCCCGTTTTGTTTCGCATCATTGGATGATCTGTTCTTAGCTGTTGTCTGCGAGCGGACTTCAGCAAAACCTGAGCAAGTAATTTAACGAGATAAGTATGATTTCGCGTCTCAATTCGATCAAAAAACGAGTCCTTCATAATGACCATCCGATAGGCTTAGGAGAGACTGTAAACCGATTAACTGAATCCATACATTAGCTCGCAGTTCAGAGCCGTTAGGCTGCTTTATTGCAGCTAATAAGGCGAACATATGATTAACAGTTTGAGAAACGTAAATAATAGGGACAGTCAACCGAGTTCCGACCATGAGCACCCTCATTCACTACTAACAATCAAGCGTGAGTAGTCATGTCAGAGTTGTATTTGCTCACTTTCTTCACAATGTTGGCCCCGATAGCCGGTAGAGCAGTAACAAGTGCCGGTGACTCCGTGGCAGGCCTCGCCATGGATACATTCACACCGCTGTCTGCACTGCCTGCCGTAGAACCCGTGTGGGCAAGGTAGACTGCATTTCTCACCATAAAATCCTGGAACAACACATGAAATACAAGGTTTATTGCAACATTATTGGCAAGATGCAGTGGGTTATGTGGAATAAGGCTAGACAGAGCAGGTTAGGAAAAAGTGCACAAAAAGTAAGTTGCCTAAGGGGGTTCGTCCACCCCTGGGCTAGTGAATTTCCCAATGGTGGTCCAGCACACAGTTTGTTGATTACAAAACACTCAATGGGTGGGTAGTGCACTTGAATTATTAATGTCTACTTTGCGGCATCTACTTTTGCGTTTTGGACTAAATTGTTGGCCACACTATAGCATAACAATAGACTGCCTTATTCCTTAGATTTTTAATTTAGACACTGTGGGAACACTTCAGTTTGTACATTATCTGCAAAGGCTCCAAAGTTCAACAGTTGAACCATGGTTCCAGGCTTCCATAGGCATCTTAAGTAATTTGTGCATAATTTCTACGTCTCGTTAGCATAGACGGCGAAGGAGTAATACCGAAACAAACTTAACAATGATCGGTGATCCAACTTACTAATCGACATATTTAGCATTGTGCCCGGCGTCTGTAGTGCACATACACTAGTTCCATGGGTATGAAAGTTTGGTATACACATTGATCTTCGAGTCACTTAAAACGGTTGCTTGCCTAAAATACTACTACTTTAGGGATGTACTAATGAGTTGATTCAAGTCAAACCATAGTGAGTAAAAGTTGTAGCACATGACTAGTAGTCTGGCTTCGACAACAGACAAATTCGGGCTCACCAACAACACAAGCAAAACTGTCTGTCTCCTTTACCCTTCACTGGAAATGTATTCTGAAATAGTGCCTCAAATCCGCATTGGCGATAAGGTATTGGAATCCACATCCCGCTTCTGCTACCTTCCGAGTGTGCTGTCGACTGATCAGCAAATATACAGTGAGTTTCGTATCCGCGACTCGAAGATAGCGACGGTATTCGGGAAGCTTGAGTACCGAGTGTGGAATATCTATCAGCCTACCGTCGGCACGAAGCTGATGGTGTACAAATCCATGATGCTGTGCATTCCTTTATACGGCAGCGAAACGTAGACGATGTATCGGCGAGATGTGAGCTATCTCAAGTAGTTTCATCAACGGTCTCTGCGACTGATTCTGCGCATTGGTTGGGGTGACAGAGTTGCGGACGCGGATGTGTTGCGTCGAAGTGGAATTTATGCATTGGACGGCATACTTTTGCTGATACACCTGAGGTAGCTCAGCCGTGTGTGGCGTATGAATTCGACGCGGATACCGAAGCAGCCATTGTATGGTCAGCTGAGTGTGGGAAAGCGGCGGGTGGGGAAACCGAAGCTTCGTTACCAGGACAGGATCAAAGTGAGCCTATCACGTTCTGATATTGATTTAAAATGTCGGGAACTGGCGTGCATGGCGCGATCTGATCACGAAGACATTTGCAGAGGTTCTGGAGAAGGCCCGGACGTATGCGGCGAAGAAGCGGCAAGTGCGGAAGCGACAGGCGTCGAAGGAGTATACTCCATCGAGGTCGAGCACCTGGTGCTATAGCAATGTGGTCGCGAGTGCCTGAGTCAGACAGGTCTATTGAGCCACTCGGGACCAGTATCGAAACGACGATGGGTCCTGCTGGGAAGGTAAGCAGAACCGGCGCAAAGTTTTTGGGTGCGCTGCATGCGCTTTCATTCAATGTAGTAACCAATTGTTTGGGTGCTGTTTCTTTATTTCAGGTGGTTGCTTTGCTATATTCCCTTTATTCTTATATGGTTACCTCATTTTATTGTCTACCTGAATAATCGTCTGTTAACTTGCACATGTCGCTTGAACGAAAGGTGGTTATCTTTGTCTATTGTTGCTCGTTTATTGCATATGGCTTCCTGATCTATTGTTCTGCCAGCTTGAGTTCATCGGGGATTTGTTGAAAGCCCATTTATCTCATATGCCAGTTTGGCGGCATCTCCATATGGTCTTTTCGATCTATTTTATTTGATTTTGTCATTGTAAGTGATTGGCTGTTGCTTGACATCCCCGTCTTGGCTGCGCTTGTTGTGCATGTTGACAAGATGCCTACCTGTCTATTACCCACTACCTCCTCCATACTGGCTCCAGGAGACAGTTGGTCGTTGCTGGAGGAGACGGGGTGCACGGTCCTCGTGGCCGTGCTAGGTTCGAAGAGTGGCTTTATCCAGTGTGGAGCGGACTACGCTCTAGCCACCGCATTGTGTGCACTTGATTCCTCAACTACAGCGGGTTTGTGCATGTTTGTGAAGGAGTGTGGGTCGGCTCCTTTGATGAAACGTAGCTCCCATCCACACGCCTCCCGGTCTTATTCCTTTGAGTTTACACTGGATAAGTGTGTGCGGATAAGGCTGTGGCTGGTGCAGCACAAGCCACTCATTGTCCCTTTGTAGGGGCAGACGTTATGCGGCTGTCTTATGGAGGCCGCAGTGACAGGAAAATCCGGATCCGGATGCCGCCAAACATGCCGCAGGTAAGAATACTGAATACAATGCCCCGGATTACGTAGTCGTTGTTTTCTCATAAGTAGGGGATTATTGCTGTAATTTTATTGAGAAGGTACTGTAGTAGTTTGCAAGTTAGATACCCAACTGCAGATCCAGAAAATCACCAGACGACCGTTTCGTCCTAGTAGAACTCATCAGTATTGCGCATACCTCGGCTTCACCAGGAAAAGAACCCTGAGGCTTATGCTACCATGCTGTGGATGATGTCGGCAGACCACGCATTGCAAACCAACTACCATTCAGCGCAACTCAACCTATACTATCTTACAGGCTTCAAAAGTTGTTGAGAGCAGGTTTGGCCCCTAGAGCCCGGGTTCCGTAACAGCAGCTACGTGCGAGCTAGCATAAACTGTATTGGCAAATGATTTGATTAACCATGAGAGGTTATTCTCGATGTAATTTCGTGACCTCACTACTATATGGTCCCAACTGGGCTAGGTCGGCCGGTGTTTCCCAGATGCGTGCTAACATAACCGACTTCAAAGCAGCTGCGGTGCACCTACAATAAAACATTCGGTATCCTTTTTCTCGTTTAGTTTGCCAATAGAAAGACAGCTCCACTCGCTGATTCTAACGATTCAGTGGTTGAAATGTCTAGGTCAGTGCACGCGACTAAGGAGACCAGAGACATTCATGACCGTTGGGTTAACAATGGCGTTTGAGCGAAAATCCGACTATAATAATATAACGTGTCAGCTGTACGCCGTAACGGAGCTTCGCTGTCACGCGACCACCACCAGTCGCGCGTGGGCTGAGTATACCGCGAGGATGCCCACCCCTACGCGGATTCGAACCGGTGACCTTATGGTTGCAAAGCAAACGTGCAGACCACTCGGCCACCGGCCGACGACTACTGGTCACAATGCGTTATTTTTGGGAGATGTTGGAAACCACATGGTTCATCATCTTTGCACTGATTGCTTGTTTTACCAGTGAGTAGCTTACAGAAGTGATTTCTACGGACCGACAATAATACATAAGGAAACCTGCAAAACATTCTGCTGTATGTGCTTGGCCAATGCTTGGAAGCTTATATTTTGCACAGATTCTCATCAGGTTTTTACAAGTTTTTACTCGACAGAAAGTATGAATATACCAAATAGTTGGTACTCTGTTCACAGCGCATAATGGGCTTGGATAATCGATGCTAGATGGGTCACGGATGCAGCTACTACGTGACTCGATGGGTCAGAGTTAAAAATGGGTTTGACGTCCACTCATCTGACCTGGCTCGGGATTTGACTTTGAAGGGAAGACCATCCATCACAGCCGCACTTTCCCTCCATGCGTGAGGCCAATAACACAACCTGCTTATTTACTCCTTTTAAGGAATTGTCCCCTTATGATCGCATTGGGTCTTCTCAGCGCACAGCCTTTCAAAAATATTTATCATTTGGAAAAAACAGCTAAACCCTTGACACCTAGGATCCTGGTGGTCCTGCATGATGATGCAGCTGCACAGATGCCAACACGATGGGCTTTTGGTGAGTAGTAAGGGGTGATTGGTTTTTGTAAAGATTCGTCGCAGGTAGACTCAGGGAAACGGCAGCCACACATCCAGGATAACGCTAGACAGCCGTTACGTCCCACTGCACTATTAAAGAATCATCTGTGCATGATACCTGAAAAGTGTGTACTTGACACAAATATGAGTACACGTTGTGTGGATGGATTGCGATGCGCAATCTCAATGTTGACCGCGATTCCCATTGAAGTGAACCTTGGTCTTTCGATCACAAGGACCGTAGTTGATGCAAATAGAAATTGGGTGTTGCCCGCTCGAAAACACGGCACTACTATGACGCCTTTCGATGTTATTACATCTCATCAGATAGAGTTATCCGTCATCGAACCCGGGACCACTGGATGTTAGTTGTCACCGCTACTCCTAAGCCACCGGGTCACAGCAAACATCCCAATGGTCCCGGATGCAATGTCTGCTAACACCATCTGATGGGATGTAATAACACCCAAACGCGACATGGTAGTGCGGTGGTTCCAAGTGGTCAACACGCAGATTCTATTTGCATCAGCTACGGTCCTTGTGATTGAAAGACCAAGATTCATTTCAATGGGAATCGCGCTCAACATTGGGATTGCGTGTCGCAATCGATTCTCACAACATGTATTTCAAAAGAACCCTCAACATCGTTCATTAAACCGTTGTGCCAAGTCTGGTGGACCAGTAGGGCTCAAGAAATGGAGGAGGCAGGAGCAGTAGGCAATTACCGCAAGCTCTTCCAGCTAATCCGCACCACTGGTCCCAGAAAACCAGGCGTCAGTGAGACAATCAGAGACAGCTCGGTTGCGCTGATACACAATAAGGAGCGCCGTATGGCTCGTTGGGCAGAACACTTTCAAGCTCAGTTCAACTGGCCCCCTGCTCCCAGATCTCTTCCTACTCAGGTGATGCAGGACGAGCCATGGAGGGTTAGTTTAGTGTCTCCGTCGGAGGCCGAGGTCCGAAACGCGATCACAGTTTTTGATCGTTTTCGTGCCGCTGGCCAGGATTCCCTCCCACCTGCACTATTTAAGGATGGAGGTGAGGTCCTCTGCAAAGCACTGGCCTCCTTATTCGAATGTATCTGGAAGGAAGAGGGTGTCCCGGCTAATTGGAGCGATTCGATTATAGTGGCAATATTCAAGAAGGGCAGTCGCACAGACTGTTCTAACCACATGGGTATTAGTCTAACGCCATTTGTGACAAAATTACTGTCCTCGATTATCGTTCGTCGCCTTACTGCGGAACGGGAATCTCGGATTAGGGAAGAGCATGCTGGTTTCCGTCCAGGACGTGGCTGTATAGACCATACAATTACTTTGCGGCAGGTGCTAGAGCAGCGTCAAGCATACCGCAGATCGGCAATAGCTGTATTCCATGATTTCAAGAGTGCGTTGGATTCAGTCGGTCGATCGATTCTGTTCGAAATATTTGCGCGGAAAAGTGTTCCTCCGATATACGTGAACATTCTTCGCGCTCTATATTCGAACACTGCAGACCGCGTCAGGGTCTATGATGTCC